AAAAACAGCTTTGAGGATAGCTACAATGGGAACAAAGAAGTGCTGAAAATGGGGAGGTTCAAAGGGTTAAACATAGCCGAATACAGTTATAAATGAAAGAAGGTGTAAAAACTATCCAATGGCCTCCAAATACTAAGAAAAACAGGCCTGTTGTGGTGAATGAAATGCAAACTCAATCTTTCAGGACACAATTGGGCCAAAGGAAATGTTAAAATTTAAAGCAGACACAACCTAAAATTGATAGCATCCAGGAAACATTCAGCACGACAAAACACCTTTTCTTGGTTGATTTTAAAGCTACACATACACAGACGCAGCAGTACATGCAATGTGCCTGTCCTGGCCACAATTTGGCACATCACAGATTTGAATGAAAATAAAAACTGAATGCATTTATCTGTGTATCAACTGTTTGTTACTGTTATTGCTCTTCCAATAATCTTTCATTCTAAACCAAAAACAGCTGTCTAAATAAGTCAAAGAATCATGGGTGGTGTTCATATTGACTCACTAATACCACCAAATTAGTCTTATGCAATAATGATGAGATGTCTGAACTCAGACAATATCTCAGATATTAACCTAACACCGGCCAAAGAGGGCCTAAACTTCAGAGGACGACTCCTCCGCCACTCTATAGAAACTCTATGCATCTTTAACAAGCAAATGTTTAAATCCCTTCCTGTTTGCCACTTCTGTACCACCCCTTCTCGCTTGTGTTGATTACTTAGTTTAGACCAAACAATCTCGAGATGAAGGTTACTGTGGATGAGCTGGCATTCTAGATTAGAAGGGGATAAATAAATAATGGACTCAGAATGAGGCAACAAACTATGCTCGTCTCACCAATTCAAATCAATGGTGTCCAATCCATATCTGTGTCCTTGGGATGGTGTGATTTAAAGAGCTGGGGGGGGGGGCATGATGGTGCTCAACAACTTGCTGACTGTCTTATGTGGTGTGCCGCTGGTCTTTAATAGGGTGTTCAAGGTTCCACACATGAACAGAAAGCCAATACAGGGACTCTGGACACAGGGGTCAGGAGATCGCCAAGCATAAGCCCTCTCTCGCTAATGCACGTTCTTTCTTGCTATGTTAAATGCTCAGGTATGCAATCTTGCCATTTCCATTAGTTACATTTTTCTCGCTCATTTCCTTCCACCTTGTTCCTCTTTTGCTTACACCTACCCATTGCTGTACCCGCTCCCTCACTAGTGAAATAAGGCAGCCCATTGGACGGCGGTACGCAGAGGTCGGCTCGGCCTCGCTTCTCATTCCACCTCTGGAGTGGATTACTAAATGGAAATGACCGCAGGGCTTCCAGGTCCACCCTGATCAGCTCACAGCTCCTTCCCTCTCTCTCTCTCTCTCTCTTTCTCTCTCTCTGGCTGTTTCAAACACTCTCTCTTTCTAAAAGTGCTGAACCCTCACCAAGTCCCAAAGACCCTCACATACAGCCTTGCAAGCCTCTGGTTGTTGGAATCCACCAACTGTGGTTGTATCAATATTAGAATCATTCTCCTCCACTGCAGTGCACAATGTTCACAGTGGAGAGACAGCGTGTCTATGTGCAGAGATTAAACCTCAGGATTTATTTTTCATCTTAAAGGGGGTACTCCAGAGATTTATTATTGTACCTCTAGAAAGTTGGGGGGGACTTGAAAGAGATTTAAAAAAGAATGGTCACAAGCGATGGAGCACAGGCAAAGATATTCTTACTTTTAGTCACTATACTGAGTCAAGCTCCAAAAAGACTGGATTCTACATTCCCCAGGATGCAACGTGATTGAACCCTTCCTGCTTTACAAACGCCCACATATTTCAAACTCCAAGTCAACACCTTGTTATACGTCTTTATGTTCAAGATTTTAAGTTTTATGTTAATCCTGATGACATCACAAGGCACATTTTTAAAGAGTTTCCCTCCAGAGCCACATAATGTATTATACAACTGTTTTCACAGGCTTTCTGTAGATTCAAATAGGTCGTGTCACTGAAAAAAAAAAAACATGCCAGAGCCAGAAAAAAAACAAAAAAACATAATAATGGCAAACAAAGTCAACTTAAAGGAATGACAGATCTCAGGAAGTACTACTGCATATGTGGGGAAAAAAAGATGTATAAATCACTGAAGGGAGCTGCACGAAATCTGATAAGTTGCCTCAAGCGATGTCACTAGAGTCAACTTCCTCAAGTGATGTCACTAGAGTCAGGGTCAGCTGGGACTGAAGACTACAGACTACAAGTTAGCTTGGAGCTAGCGTTTCAAGGCTGCATTAGCCGCTACTAGCATATCACCCCTGAATCTCTGACCGAACTGTCCTAGGCTGAGTGTGACGCATTGTGGGTAATGTAGGTGCCAAGTTGAAACTATGCCTACAATCAAACGTAAAATGATTAGAGAGGAATATGCTTCAGTTACAGGACAGGGAGGTTACCACCCAAACAAATACAGCGTTATTACTGAGGTGGCGTCCTCCATCTGGCAACATTCCTACAATTCCAATAATGCAAAAATATGAAAATGATCAACAGCCTAATTCTCCCGCAATGTTTAATTGGAATGTTTAACATTCCCTTCTTTATTAGCTCTGTGGTGACTCGCTCCCTCCCTCAACCGGGTGGGGGGAGTGAAACTGATTGAGGTTTTAAAGACTCAATCCCAGTTGAATTGCAATTGCAGAGGCTTTTAATTAGATAAAGCTTGGCTGGTTTGAACATATACTTTACAGCCGTGTCAGGCTAAAAGGGTCCATGTGTCGTAAATATCACCCGAGACATTAATAGAATTGAGATTAGAGGGCAGAATGTGTGGATCAGCGCAAAGCGGCAGCCAGCAGTGGGACAACTTCATGCAGTGCGCTATTTATAGCTGCTAAAATGGACGGCTCCATTAATATAAGGCTTACCCTTTCTGGAAATGTAAATCACTGGGGCCATGGCTCGACGTGCATGTTATACAGCTGCAGTATGTCAGAGTTAACAGACTCTGATTTACAGTGGTCTGGGATAAAGCAAAGAAGATTACTTCATTTTTGTGTGCTATCCTCACGGACATCTTGTGTGTTTTAAGTCAATATGGTATCTCAGCTATTTTTTTCTCTCTACCTCAAAAAATGACTTATCATCTAAGATAAGACATATGGCTGCAAAGGATATACATTTTAATTGCATGCCTTTTTCTGAAAGCTAGTGCTTCACAGCAGACTGGAATATAGATGTCTAAAGTGGCATTACAGCCATGTTGAGACCCGTCACTCATCTGCTCTCTTTCATTCCTGCCCTTGATGTTTATATTATTCACAGATGGAGACAAAGCGAGCCAACACCAAAGTCGAAGGAAGACAGGGAGAGATCAGATCGCGGCCTCAGTGGACACTTCCACAAGGCCAAGGGCTGATCAATAACCTCCACATTTCAAAACCGAGTCGGATTAAATCCAACATGTCTTGTTTTTAAGAACCACAGGCTCCAGGTTTAATTGAGAAGCATCTCACGTCGAATCAGAGGGCTCATGTCTGTTCTTTTGAAATAACTTGTCATTTTCTCCCTCTTTCTCGAGCATATCAGCTCACTCCCTTTCTGTCTAATCTCTCTCTCTCGCTGTCATCACTGTCTGTGTGAACACTGCATACAGCTCAGGTACCCTGCCACTGTACACCTCTGCATGCATGTACTCTATGACTCAGAGCACACAGCTAACCAGTGGGGGAAGAAGCCATCAGATCTTTTACTTACTGTGAGCCAAAGTAGCAATACCACAACACAAGAACAACCCCTTTACAAGCAAATTGAAATAAAGTAAATGTACAAGGTTTAGCTCCTATACTACAAATCCTTTATATTTCTGTTGACCATTTTCCAATACATGCCGCACAGTTTCTTTCTGCTCTGCGGGAATCCGTTGGTTTCCATGTATTTCTGTACAATGTGCAGATCAAGTAGCTGCCTCTTAACTGCTCACTCCATCCCAGTGAGGTCAGGTCTACACTCAATTTGGTTAAAATTTAAATTATTGCTGCCTTTTTATGAATTAGCACTGCAGTTTAAATGAATGGAAGCCAACGGCTGCTTGAATAAAATACACCCACATTTTTAGACCACAGTAGCATGGTTTGCAAAGTTGCTAACTGTGATGCAAAGTAGAAGTGAACTGAAAACATGCAAAACCTATGGTCGGGTTAAGTATAAAAAAAATGACTAATACTAATTATTCAAAATGGCCATTTTCTGAGAGTTATATACTATTGTATTATCACTGTACAGTAACATGTTAGCAACATTTTATTATTGCAGCTGCCACTTTATATACTATTAGTTAGTTTAATCTTTCACAATGCATATTTAATATGCTAATCATATCCTTAGTAGCCACATTAAGTACCTGTACAGTGCAATCTGCCTTTAAGTTTGTTTTTTTTTACACTAAAAAGTACTGTAATGCAGAGATGTATTGGACTGCATAAATTTGTATAGGTGAACCTAAAGCGGCTAATCAGTGCAATGGAAGACGTGCCATTACAATAATATGTTATCTGACTTCTCTTTATTTCTAAAAAGTAAAATGTACTTGAAAATGTTCTTTAAAAGTACTTGTTCTGCGGGGGGAAAGGCGGCTGTGATGTATATATGTGACATTACAGGATTGTTAACACTGATGTATCAGTGTATATGTAGCATATAACTGCTCAGATCGGTTAAGGTGGAACTGGTTTTAAGTTGATGTGTCAGCCCTGTGATGAACTGGCGTCCTGTCCTTGGTGTACACCTTGCCTCTTGCCCAATGTCAGCTGGGATGGGCTCCGGGCTCCAGGCCCCCCGTGACCCTGCAAAGGATAAGGATAAGGATACTGCTACATGCATTTCTTTTAATTTTACTGGACTTTTCTCAAACATTTGCTTACTTTATTTACAT